ATCATTCTTAAATAACTAGCTGGATAAATAAAAGACATGGGCATTGAAATTCTGACATATGACAATTAAATTGTGGAATGACCGAATGCAGGTAATATTTTCAGCTAAACAAAATGAAAACTCACTATTATGAAATATATTTCATTAAAAAAAAAGAAAAAAAGATATAATATGGCAATTTACACCTATAATGAGAATTATTGTTTAGGTATTTTTAACATTCTTTTTATGTACATTTTTGCTTTATACATTCCAGCATAATATCAATAAGATATCTGATCCGATATAGCTTTAACACATTGGAAAGGGCATCCAGTTAGTGCATTGGTATTAAATTATAACATGCAAATCTTTAAGTGGAACTAATGTGACTGTCAGGGTTAGTGAATGTAGTAGTGGACCCAAATACAGAGTAGGAGGCAGGGAAGCTTGCTTGCAAAATTCTATGAAACATGTAAAAATACAAAGTCCAGAACTGATCTACAAGGAAACTCAAGAACCCAAAAACTAAGAGACACTAGGGAGGAATAAACCAAAAGAACGACAAGGATCTGGCAGGTGTAGACAAAAGTAACTAGAAGGAGCTATGGGAAAAGAGACTGGGACAAGGGGGCAACATAAAATCTACAAAAAATACAATTCAGTTCAGTTTATTTATACAGCGCCAATTCACGACATGGTCATCTCAAGGCACTTTACATTTCAACCTGTCCAATTGATTCAACATGTTCTATCTAAGGAAAAGGAAAACCAATCAATTGCATTTAGTCAATCAATTTGTTTATAGATGTTTGAGATCGGCCTGTTTTTCAGTGTAGTCCTGTTTCTCTGACTGTGACTGGCTGGATGTGCTCTTTTCATTCTCTGACATGGGAGCTGGGTCGGAGCTCATCTGCCTGGCTGTGTGTTTACAGCTGCCTTTTGTATCTCTGCTTCTGTCTCCTTGAACCCCAGTCGGCCTCGGCAGATGGCCACTCGCACTGAGCCTGGTTCTGTTGGAGGTTTCTTCCTGTTAAAAGAGAGTTTTTTTTCTCTCCACTGTCGCTACAAGCATGCTTAGTGTGAGGGATTGCCTTCGAGTCAATGAGTCGATGCAATCAACTGCTTTTCCTTAGAAAGAAAACTTAGAAATCAATTGTACTGTAAAGTGCCTTGAGATGACATGTGTTGTGAATTGGTGCTATATAAATAAACTTAATTGAACTGAATTAGATTGAATTGAAATAGCTTNTTCAAATATATAGATCAATGCAATGATGAGTTTCTGTTCATGAAACCCCACCAAGATAGTCGCTGCTAACTGAAAAGAAGAGTAGACACTGTTTGGTATCAGCTAATGTGGGTGCAGGTCCAACCTGCTGATGTGGATTGGCCGAATAAGTCATTTAGTTGAACAATGTCATTACAAAATAAGAAGGCGATGGGTAAAAGCATCATTATAAAATAAAAGCTGGCTTTTTAAAAGTAAAATTTTTAAATGAAAACTTTTGGAATTAAATAAAAATGCCTCAAGAATTATTTTTGATTATTGGGATAAATTGTCAGAGTAAATCATTATTTTTATCATGAAATTTCAATATTCTTAGGTATATTTCATAATAATTAGCTGAGAATTTTACTTGTATTCAGTTAATTCAAAATTACATTGCCATACTTAATATACGTTTATTATTTATTCAATTCAAATATTTTGAACACTTTGGCATAAACTGATCTAATAAAATGTAGAAGAAGAGTTTCTCCAACAGACATTGACTGTTTATCAACACTGTAGACTTTAAGCCAACCTTAAATTTCTCTCCTTACCAGGTAGGTAAAGGGTTAAGAGCAGAACATTTGAGTTATCATCTTCAAATTCCACTTAAAACTAGTAAATTTCTACCTGCACTTTGTTTTTCCTTCAAATCTCTAGCTTTTTTAAAATCATGAGAACAAACCCTAAAAATTGATTGGTGATACTCTCAAGGCTTGCTAATTTGATTTGTTGTGGGATTTGTGTAAATTGAATATCAGTCTCACTAAAGCTTATTTACATTGTGGTGATTTTAGTATAAAAGCTGGTGTGACAGTGCCATCTCCTGGAGAAGAAGGTTTTCTGTATATTATCTGTCATTATCATTATGACCTACTGAGGCAAAGCAAAGGTACGAAAAAGGAAACAAAAGTCAGTGTAACTTAATGTTGCCTCCAAGGTAGTTCAGATATATATATTTATGGTTTAAGACATTAGCAAATGTCTCAACTACTGAATAAAAAATGTCCATTATTTCATATATAAACTTAGCACCCACATATGAGTAATTTCTGTTTGAACCTTTAGTCTTCTTTGTAAAAATGATTCTTTACAGTAAATTTTCACACACAATGTAATTATGCCATGGATGTGCCTTATATATGGCTATCCAAAACCCGTTTTTGTTATCAATATTTCCTTAAAACAATCACACAGCTTGTCACCAGTTTAACATTTTAATAGGGATTCATGCTCATTCTCAGTAACTTTGCCTCTCTGTCCTACAGTTTAAAGACGGCAAGAAACTGAAACCAAAGCCGAACTACAACAGTGTGGATCTTTCAGAGGTGGAGTGGGAGGATACAGATGAGATGGTAAACATGCCTAAAGAATTAGGAATCAAATTTTTTAAAATCAAATCAGGATGTATTTGGCTGGATGACCTTCAGTAAGTGTATGTAACTAGAGATGATTTAATTATTTAAAGATTTTTTTTCACTATCATTGGCTGAAATAAATATTACTTAGGTGGACATCAGTGGCGGTTGATGCTCTATGAAACAGGGGAGGCTCAGTCCTAGAGTGGGCTGCAACATTTATGCACAACATACTCAGGTGCATTTTACACTGGAAAAAACTGAAATCTAGATAAGTCATTTTTTCTTAAAATAAGTGCATTTGTTCTTGAATTGAGGAGGTAAAAGACATCTTGCCAATGGAACAAGACAATTTACACTTAAAATAAAAAAACACAGTTTAATTGTCTTATTTCAAGTGCATATTATCTAATTATCTTATTTTAAGAGTAAAAATGCTCATTCCATTG